TGGGTCAAAACTGAGCCAAACATTGTTTGAAAATGCAGTAAACGTCCAGTAAAAATGCATACCAGGAAGTGACGAAACAACTGTCCACTAAAAAGCGTCAACTTTTGGACGCTTTTTTCTTGCCGTGTATATCGTTGGTTTAAAATCTGTTCTTGAACTAGTTCGGTCAATTGAAACTAACAAACAGATATCAACAGAATCTTATTTCCAAATGTGATGCTTGATAAAGCGCTGAAAATTTTTAAAAAATTTGATTAGGATGGTTTAAGTGTCTGGATAACTACCTACAAGGAACTTGGGAATATTTCTGTGAGCTTAACCAGAAACGAACAAAGTTTTCATAAGAAAATGTAAAAGCCATGGAAGCTTTTTGCGAAGAATAATCCCTGATGGGAAATAAATATTGTTTTCTCTCTACTATCCAAGCTTCGTTATTATTACACCATGACACCTTCGTTGTATGTAACCTTGAGAATACGTCACTATATCTATCGTTTTCTTTCTTTATACACCTGTCATAACATTCCGTTATTCCCTTAGAATCAGAAAAGAAAATACATGATTTTCGAATTGAAACAAGGTTTTAGAAAACTCTAAATGAGTACCATAATACTAAAGAAAATAAGTAAATAGCAGATATATAACAAAATATTTGTTTTGGGAAAAAGCCGGTGCCATCAAAAAATTCAATAATTGCTTATTGTGTACCGGAAAACATGAAAATATTGTTAGCAACAGCAGTATTATTTTCCTATTTGTTAGGAACTTATGGTAAGTATCGTAAACCAACATCGTCATACTGCACGTGGATCGCATTCTTTGAAATTTCCACTACCCAACACTTGATTGCTATATCTCATACTTAGGAAGAAGAAAAGGAAAAATACCCCGCCTTGCGGCAACCGTTACCGATATAGGGTGCTGCTGAATGGTAGTTTCATTAGCCCAATATCTTCCCGACACTTGACAAGCTGCTGGAACGGTCACTCATCTTGTTACTAGTCATCAACTGTAGCTCTGGCCGAAAGACGGGTCTGACACAGAGTTCGTTTGCCCAATTACTTGAGTGCACTCACTAATCACGCACTAGCTTTCCGGAAAACTAGAAGGACTAGCCGGAGAACTTTATTGTACGTCACAACGTAGTGAGTATGACGACGAACATGACCATCAAGCCATGCTGCCATGATTGTAGGTGTGTGTGGGGTACAGTCTCCCAAAAAGAAGACTTTAACCAAACACTTTTAATATTTCCGGATTAGCCATAGGTACAATGAACTGTACAGAAGGAACTAAACATAGGAGAATAGTAAAATGATTTCTAATGCTATTGCAGAGTAAATTATACAAAAAAAAATTGACTCTGTATATGCCTCAAATGTTTTCGCGCGTTTTATTACTTTGGTCGTGAAATTTTATAAAAAATTCATACTACCGCCGACGGAAATCGTTTTTATAATCCCTCTTTACAAGGGAATTTTACGGATGACGAAAAGCTTTTCTGATTTAATCTAGCTTTGCTACTGCATTATTCATGCTAATTACGATCCGGATACCTGTTTGTGTGGGGATTGAATGAAATGCTTCTGAGATTTCCTGCCTCTGGATAACCATCACGAACTCATAAGCTAAAAGACTGATCTACTAATTTGAGGAGCTGATCGAGTTACTAACGTTGTTGAGAACTGTAGAATGTGTCTTAATCGATGAGCTCCTTAAACTAATTGAATCAGAACCTCTTGACTCATGAATTCGTGACTCGCCAGACAGCAATGCTGGGAGTCATTCGAAAATTCAATAATAGCACGAACAGATATTCGGATCGTAACCAGCATGAATAATACTGTAACAAAACTAGATTCAAACAGGAAGAAAAGGCATCTTCTTGTCTAACTTAGACAGGGAGATTTTTTTATTTTGGAATCGTTCCAAAATAAAAAAATTTTGAAAAGTGAGTTTGATATATCTTCATACAGAATCTAGTCTAGTCGTCGAAATGAGGGCAACCTGAACTTTCTGTCTTCACTTATAAGTTTTCTGTTTATGCCTATCAACGACAACGTTTTACCTTTGAAAGTTTTTTCAACTCATAGAACCAAGTAAAGTCTCTTAATCAACTGAACCAGATGGCTTTAAACGTTTTCTTTAAAATGAGATACTTGTTAAAAACTTGTAGCGATTTACCTGACAGCCCTTCATAATGCAACATTTTTCTTTCCTAGCTTATATCTCAGAATCGCTTTTTTCAGTTTTGACGTTTCTACTAGAAAGATTACATCCATCGGTCTGTAGTACTTATGGTAAAACTTTTAGCTTTATAGGTCAAGTATTTCTGCTCATAACACTACTTCGATGAGCGTCCGGTTTACGTTGTGACAGGTTGTACAAAACCTAAACTATAGAAGACCGATAATACCCCAGTAGAACTTTTCATAACTCATAAAAATATATTTGTGTTGAAAAATCATAGTTCTATGATAAGCTATTCTTCAAATAGCGGAGAAATGTGAGCTATAATTGTAGGAGAAAATTTACTCAGTGAAGTAAAACTAGGCAGTAGCGGCTACGACATAATTCATCCAGATTTGTTCAAACAAAGCTCTAGCTGTGTCCTGTCCTGTGACTTCACGTGACATTAGAGCCCTGATCGCATCCTACCCTGTGACTTCGGAGCCCACCTTCTCCCCTCCCCTGCATGATAGGGTAGGGTAAGAGGGCCCTGCACATCTTTACAAGCGTGCACGCACAATGATTTTTCAACGCAATGACTCATAAAGTCGGATGAGCAGTATCGCTAATTTTACCACTAGTACGAGTAAAAAATTTTTTTGCCGAAGTTCACTGCAATAAAATTTTGAGATTTTTTACGAGCTTGAAATTACTGCGATAAAAATCTGAAGCTGTTAGGAAGCGTCCGTAATAGTAACAAGTTTTTATCGTTACCGCTCATCAGTAAATATATCCGTGTCGATTATTGGAGACGAAAAAACGCTGAGAGAGATAAATTTATGAACAAGGAAAAGGAAGTTTTAACATTCTAACAGCCAACAATAAAATAAAGTAAGAGAGATAGAGTATAAAAATCGTTCAAAAGTTTTTCGAGGCTACTCAGGTGTTAATATCGAATCTGTATTGAGAAAAACGCTCAATGAGTAACGAGTCAAATATTTTCTTTTGAAGTATATTTAGAATCTTGTCAAGTTTTTATACCTGATAATGGCAGTTCTTCCAGAAAAAGAATCGAAAATTTTATTTTCATCGAAATATTTGAGAGCATGACGGTTGAGCGAATGTATCAAAACGATACTGAATAGTAGATAAACCGTTGTAATATATAATAAAGACTTAATCATTTCTTTTTATTAAAAATTTAAATTGATTTAGTCACAAAGAAAACTCGTCTTTCTGTTTCTCATGTTTTAGCTACAAGTGAAGCGAATTTCACGTACTGTTCCATTTATGATAGTGATGAAGAAATTATTAATTCTCAACCATTTTATGTTAATATATACCTAGGGTATCCGCAGACTTTAAAGAATGCGTCCACAATCTATTACGAATTTAAAAGACCAAATAAATTATGGCTTGTTAATAACAAAAAAGAGGCTATAGATATCTTTTGTTTAAAACCCTTGCAATCACTCATATTATTCAGTGCAAATATCACATTTACACCAGATTTTCAATATTTAACAAATTTAATCGAATTAACAATTATAAACGATAATGGACGTATTGGTAAATATTTTCCTGTTGAATTGAATGAATTACCATTAAGATATATGAACTTGTCGAATTTATTAGAGTTAAAAGCATTACCAGATGCATTTGGTAAAAATTTAACAAGTTTAATATTATCAAAAATACCAAATCTTGAATATTTACCAGAAAATTTATTTAACTTAACATCATTATTTGTTGAACAATGTCCGAAATTAACTTATCTGCCACCAACAATTGTAGCCGCATCAGATTTACAAGATCTGACAATAACACAAACAGGTTTATTAGATATTGAATTAAGCGATCGTTTACAAATAACGTTTTTTCTCTACCAATGATCGATTAAAAAACTATATATCTTTGCTTTTCTTGAATTATTTGCTAAATAACGTATTAAATACACCTACGATAATATGTTAAAAAAATTTCAAATTTAAAGTCTAAGAGACACAAGAACATTCTAATCTGTTAAGTATCTACTTGGCGCTTTTGCTATATGATGATGATAACATAAAAAAAGTCATATGTTTATTAGGAGAATAGTGTATGACTTTTCTCTTTCTTTTCTTTTAGTGTCGTTGGGTATATGAATTTCATTTTTTCTACTTAAAAAATTGTTAAAAAAAGTCAATATCTAGAATAAGCGTAAAAGATAGAAAAATTTAGAAAGAAAAAAATTTTCAAAACAACATATCAGTCGAATAATTCAAAATTTATCATAACGTAATATAAGAATGGATCGTAAACACTTTTCGAAAGTTAAATAACGTGAACATCTCATCCAATCCCAATCTTACATTAATTTCCTTGAGTAATATGCGAATATCTAACAGTTTGGATTTATCAAAGAATGATCAATTATCAGTTGTTATAATTCGAAATTTTACACAAGAAGTTTACGCAAGTACATTTCGAATATTAACTTTAAAATCTTTGCCTAGTTTACAAGTTTTCATGTTGGAAGATATACCCGCATTACGGTCCTTAGATTTATCATTAAATCCAAGTTTAACTGATATTACATTTAATAATGTAAATGTAACGAGTTTAGATATGAGTCAATGTCAATTGTATGAATTTCCTATGGAAATTTTAAAATTTGGATCTTCATTAGAAAAATTAGATTTAAGTCGAAATCAATTATCATCATTACCAGATATATTTTCATCAACGCTTTATGCTTTAAAAGTATTATATTTAAACGGAAATCAATTCTATGGTCATTTACCTATAACAAAATCATTGTTTAATTTGGAAGAATTAAATTTAATGAATAATCAATTAACATCATTGAATGGTATTCACAAATATAGAGCATTATTGCAATTAACATTAGATAATAATAATATTCAAGAAATTCCAATAGATATAATAAAATTACAGGAATTAAGAACCTTAACTATTAAATTTAATCAACTAGAAACAATTCCATATCGTATGGTTAATCTTCGAAAGTTGGTATACATCGATATCGCGAATAACAATATAACAGAATATGAAAAGGCGCTAATTAAATCTGAATTCAAATTAGTAGTTCCAGCGCTACGATTTGTTTCTTTATAAATAGTCATGGCACATAGTGATGAATATTAGTGATTAATTGGGATTTATTTTGTTGTTAATTCGATAATCATTTTTATGTAACAGAAACATGAAAAGAATAAAAACTAATGTGGTCCTAAAATACATAGGAAAAGTTATACAGAGTTGAGAGAGAGCGTGAGTATCAGATGTACGTGAAAAATTCTCTATTTGCTCAAACTTATATTATTCACTGATATTACTTGAAGTGAACCCCTTAACCACGGTCAAACCAAATTATCCATAAGAATTACAATTGAAATTATAGAGTTTCTTTCGAATAAAATATATAGCATTTCTTCACCGGTAACATAGGAGTATATGAAAGTCGTACAGTGAGCACTGTACTATGGGAAAATTTCTACGACACGTTCACCTAGCCAAATAGAGCTTAGCTTTGTCATTTTAACACACGAATTTTTGGTAATTCTTCTCTGTTCACACGTTAATCGCTAGTCAGTGATAGGACTACATAAGATGGACAAAACTTTTCTCAATTTATGGTTAAGGTTGAAAACGATAGGAGAGTACTTCCATTTAGTTTTGTCTTTATATTACATGATCGAGAAGCCGCTAACTGTTGACCGTATGGAGTTCGTAGTTCTGTCGAAGAGAAGTAAAATTGCCTAGATGGTTGGAAAAAAAACATTTGGAACATCGTTTCTTAGAGGACGAAAGCCTCGACGTGACGCCTCCTTTTGACAACTTTGAGACCGTTTTTTCCTGAAATGAAATGAAAATCTGTCCTGCTGAACGAACAGCTTATTCCATCCCTTCCATACTTTTTTTAAAAAAGCTCTGATCGAAAGCTACTAGTTTTCGAATGGTGGCCTATTCTTTGCAGCCTACGTTTCAAAAGATAGATCGATTTTTCATTTATAAATAGCTCTAGCTCCTTGTTCAGATATGATTACACCATGTTTTACTTGGACTTTTCTTCGGAAACATGACGTAATTAAGTTCGCGATAAAAAGATCGATTTAACAAAAAATGTTTATATTAGTGAAAGTCATGGCTCAAAAAATGATAAGACACCGGTGAAAGTTTCAGGGTCGAAGAAGTTCCTCTCTGAAGAATTTTCTTCAGATACCTGAGATGCTTATTTCATCAAGTTTTACCCGGCTTTCTCTTCGAGAATATTATGTAATCACAATGGGATTAGTCTCCTCAGGCTAACTTAGACGTCTAATTTAAATAAATGCCTTTCTGTGTAAATGTGTATATTTCTGTATGTGTTGTGATGATTTTATATAAAAAAATTACTGATGATACAGTGTTAAAATAACATAATAAACAATAAAAAGTGATAAAACTAAAATGTGATCTTGACCTTGGACTAGTTCCGGTAATACTGAGTTGTCTGTTCAGCGTAGCAAATGATCACTCTAAAAAGGGAAGTAATGCATCAACAACATTAAGAAGATAAGTAAAATTTAACTATCTATCGAATATTACTGATAAATATGTAAAATATGTACGTTACGTGTAGATGATAGAATCACTTAACCGTTAATAGTCAATAGGGCAAAATGTAGATATCTTTATATAGTAAGATAAATGATTCTATCATCTGTCCGTTTGTGTTTCAGGTCTCATACTTCAGTAGAACTATTATATATCATTCGAAAGCTCTTCTTCTGCGCTATATTTCTGTATGTCACATATACGGAAATACTCGTTCCGAGGCCAAGTATGTTTAGAAACACTTCTGTGGAAAATATTCTCCTATATGCAAAACGTCTAAGATAATCTATGATATTCTTCATCATCTAGCCACTACGACAGATACACCCATCGATGGAGAATTTCTCGCGCTACAGATTCATATATATATATATGATAGCGAAAACCGTGTCTTAGAACCCGTTGACATTAGAAATACTTTCTGCAAAGCCATGAAAAGCGGGTGACTTATTCCACGGTGAGGATCCTATGATCAACGTTTCTCAACTAGCCACTACGATAGATATACCATTCAATAGAGAATTTCACGAGCTTCAAAATGAGCTATAAATAAGTCTTTCAGAAATATGGCCACGTGGGTTAACAGTTGAAATACTTGGCCGATATAACGATTTTGATGTATCTTAGTGGTTTCAACATTCCATTAGTCGTTTTTCTGCCATAATGAAAATTATGTATTGTTCGAAAACATACCACTGAATAGCCCTTGAAATTCTCTAAACAGTGAGCTGGTCACAATATTCAGACAGGTCGAGCCAGTCATTAAAGATATGGAAAAGACGCTTTGGGGTGTTATCTAAGCGGTACAGTGTGTCATAATCACAAGAACTCTCTTGTTTTTGACCTTTTAGTAAAAGCTGGAACCAATCTGAATAATTTTTTGAATAGCCTAAGAAGATTTTTCTAACTTATTAGTCTTATTTTGCTCAGAATATTTCGCTCTATCAGGCTATATGGTTTGCAAAATTTTCTCACTAAAAACTAAGGACTTGCTTTTTCAGCGGTCAGGTTTTCCAGAAGTTCTATTATCAAATTTTCTCACAAAAGGTCGATATGCAATCTTCGAGGCAAAGAAAAATCTTCGGGCTATTCAAAACATTATTCAGATTGGTTCCAGCTAGTACTAAAAGGTCAAAAACAAGAGAGTTCTTGTGATTATGACACACTGTACCGCTTAGTCTACTGCGCTTTTGAGTCTACTGCGCAATCAATAAGCACTTTAAGTCAAATGTTTTTCCGTGAAAAGATTCAGCAAAGTAGGTACTATAGATTGTTGACAACCGCGAGTTGCTAGATTTTTTTGTTTCTGAATGATTGAGAGAATTTCCCCATCTTGTTTGAAAATAATTATTCCTTCGTTTTAAAAAATTTACTCCTACTAAAATAAAAATTACCCCGAAAAGTTAAAAGCCTTTTTCTTTTTTAATTATCAGCTAAATTTTTAGAGTTGCTCCATAAAAGTTCCCCACCTAGCCAAAGTTATATGGAAAATGCTGGTGGCATATGACATACAATTTATCCCATTTGCTTTTCGACTATCTTCTGACAAAATTATATCGAATGAAGAACTCATTTTTTTTACCATATATGAAATGTCCCATCCACAAACATAACTCTAGAACCGTAATGGCTAGCACACAAAGTCGTAAATTTTAAGACTATACGTATTTTGACATCCTGAATCGAATGGCCCACTCATTGTTCTGAAAGTCAGCTCAGCAAAGGATCTCTAAAAACCTGAGTTTCTAGAGATCCAAGCTTAGAAATTGTCAAAAATCCCTTTTAGAGGATGCTAGTCGATAGAGCATATGTGAAAACCTATGTTTCAATACGCTTCTAAGCTCAGTTATGCGCTTTTAGCTGAAAAACAAAGAAAATCGCATTTTCGATTCTGAATCAAAAAGTGAACAACCAGTATTTAGGCAAAGAAAGACTTATTAGTTTGGAAACAGAGTGTTTTTATAGACTTTCAAGTATCCTCTATAAACCTACAATGTTAAAATATTTTTATGGACAGGTTATTTTTTTCTTCAAAAATGGTACAAAAGTCACCAGAATCAATCATATGCTATTTTAGTTGTAATATGCACATACACACCTTGCACAATTATACTCCATACAAAAAAGATAAAACTAAATATCGAGTGAGACCACAGCAAAACAGACTTATATTCGTTTTCAAGGTGGTTGGAAAAAATATTTATATATAAATGTGTAGATGGAAAAAGATGAGTTTCTGAAATATCGATATTGCGGAGTATGGATAGAGAGAAATTCATTCAGCTCTACTCGAGTATGTTTCGGTCTATTCGAAAGTCTATTCAGAAATTTACCATCTGTTCGGAAGCCCATAGTACGGTGCCAATTCTTTTGGAGGTTTACCGACTTATGATATTGTCTTCTTTTATATCTGGGAATAGTTGAGAAATGTTTATATGCTACAATACTTTATATATACAAATAAGAAGAACATTATTATACTTTTTCCTATTTATGTATATAATCGTAAATCGAATTTCAATAAATTTATCTATCAAAATAAATTTCATGTATACGCATATATACACCAGAAGAAACCGATAATATATCGAAATGTTATTAAAATAAATCCGTTGTGCCGCGACAGAGCGAACGGCAAGAATTTTGAAATGTTCCCTAAGCGATATATGCTACAGCGAAAAATCTGACTCCGGCCTGAGTAGATTAACACACAGTATACACGTTTGCATTTTGAAGGCATTTAGTAAAGTGTCTCATTCTTATCCACTTTGTCACCTGTCGGCAATATACAAGTGCATTTTCAATTTGTTTCATTTAAACAACGGTTTGTTTTCTCTTTGTTGTTGTTAATCAATAAATGTGGGATACACTTACTTATTTCTCTCTTTATTTTCAATTATACAAGAAATAAAATGCCGTTGAGTAGCGAGCGTGATTTCTCTTATGTACCACAACCTATTCAAAAACGTCATATTATATCAAATGAACGTTATAAAATACTAAGTTCCCCCAAATCAATACAATCATCAGCGAAAAGTGTAAGTCACTATGCCATTCTTTACGTGATTCCTGACAGTGTATGATTTAGGCTTCAGCTGTATCAGTTTCGGTTGTTAAATTAAAGCAATCAGCATTACGTCAAATACCAAGTAAATCAACGTGAGTACATGGGAAGCATGTGCTAAACATGATTGTAAAACTTGACGATTTTTAGATGGACGCCGAAAAAATATTTATTACTCGCATTGGGTATAGTAGCATGTGTGATTCTGGCTATTGCTATTGCAATCGCGGTGGTTTTTGGACGTAAACAAGGTAAACAGCAGTCGTATTTTGATGGTAGTGGTTGATTGTAAGATCTGCCTCAGCTAGACTTTTGATTTGTGAGTGACTTTTTCCCATGATTACAATACTGTTCTGTAAAGTGCTGTTACCGCTGATCTGCTACGACATTAGTAGAAGCTTTTTTGTAACCATGTTCAGTCTGATTTGTGCCTGGATATAACTAACAGATAGTAACCTCTTAGCAACGTGTCTAGCTGTTTTAGTCTTTTTATTGTGGTTAGACAGCTCCTAATTATAGTTATACATACAAGAGAAGAGCTTGGTCTTGCGTTATAAATAAACTTGTCAAAGGGTGCACTTCTTTCGTGCACATGTTTTGGTTCCGTGGTTAGGCTTCAGAGCTTCCTAAACTCTTCGTAGAGAAAATCGTTGCCAACAGAGAGAAGGGATACTTCTTTCTCCTCTTTTGATAAAATTTTGATATTTCATTCGTGTACATTTCAACACAAACTTGAATTTCGTCTACAACAAAAACAATTCCCAGCTCTCCATAATGTTTCGGGCAAAAACAACACGGCTTTCAAAATTTCAGTTTTTATGTTTCTTGAAGTTTGTCTATATGACATTATTTATTTCAAAGCGAAGTGAAGTATTCACTTCAAATGAGACGAATCACGTTCTTTTCAAAAAAGCAGGTCAATTTGCTAAATATTTTGCTGAAATTCATTATGTAGTATCACTATCACATCATCCAATTGAGCTGAGAATTAGAAATTCTAAATTTTATGAGAATTAGTTAACAACATTTCCCATGCTTCTTCGTTTACCTCCCAACCCTTCTTTAGAGTTATAAGGCTGAAAAGGTACTATATTTGAGTAGCGCTTGACAGAAATACAAAACAGGATCCATTCATCCAGACTCTAATCAAATATGAAATCTTGACTGATAATATTTTCTGTTTCTCAAGACTTCTATACAATAAGAAGTCGAGTGTGAGCTCCAGAATGATGTCAGTGCTAGCTCTTCGCGATTCTCCTTCAAAAGTTTGACTGTTTAGAGTTCGAAACTTCAGCATGTACAGTATTTTGGCCATTTTATAGCCTTCTGACAAGAGACCTACAAAACCTAGTTTACAAAATCCTGCAGTTTTTCGAAAGGGTCTTCAGAAACCTTCCATCACAAAAATGACTTTCGATTTTTGCGACAGTATAATCATGTTAACGAATAAAAGTAACCATATGCGGCAGTAACCGAGCCGTTCTGATGTTTTTCGAATAAATTTTGAATTTTTTAATATTAATTGTAAATAGCCCAGGAATCGGAATTCTCATAAACTCGGTTTTCATTTCGATTTTTAACCCTTTTACAAAAACAAATATTGCCATAAGGTTCAGCGTGGTCGACTACGTATGTTCCATCCATTGCAACACTACCTAAAGTCACTGGGTACTACTCCTGAGACTCCAAGGAAACCATATATCACGCTCAAACCACCGAAAATCAAGGTTTTTCATGACTCTCATTTTGAAAAGGACACTTTGACTTATGTGTGCATGAAGGAAACGAAAGTATTCGTGCTTGAAGTTTCTGAGCGGTGCGGAAGATTTACAAGAGTTTTACAAAGATCTCATCAAAAACCTAGTATAAAAAAACATTTTCCAACTGATACATTACAAGCACGAAATCGCAGCTGTTGTGGCGTTATATCGCTCAATGCACTATTCTATTATAAAATTACAAATAAAAGAAAAGAGAAGACAGAAAAGAATGATAAGCAAATAAATGAAGCAAAAAGATGACAAGGATGATATACCGCCTAAGTTTCATCACGTTTGGACCGCAAGGAGCTTTTCGTAAAAAATTTATATTGTACAGTTGTAGATCTCATTGCGACCTTCCCGAACACTAATAAATATTGCTTAAAATTTAAGGCTTTTATACGTCTAAATATGGAGTAGAACACACTTAAGCAGTGCATGCGCAGGATGGGGATAAGAGCACCTCCAAATTCGCATTTAAACAGTTTGGTCCAGTTCTTTGTATTTGAATTTATAATTTAAGTGTTCGATTCCATCATTTATGTAGTGTTATTTGTACAAAAGCTTTTCTTCTGTTGTTCTCCTCTACTAGAAAAAGCTGAATATGTTCAATGGACACAAGCAGCCTTTTAAAGTAGAAACGATTGAAAAAATCATCTCTATCATCCTACATCAAAAACTCATTTCGGTCGATTGCAGTAAACCCCCTTTTTATATAGGGTACTTTTTGAGAAAATTCTGCCTTTCTTGCAGGACATAATGGAAGCCCACTGGGCTTCTAATGTGGACGAGGGTTTATATGTTGCGTCCGGTCCGTTCTTGGAAGTTCTATGAATCCTTTTTTACGCATCATTCATTCTATTTCTTCGTTGTTTGAATTGAATGCATCTGACTGTTTTTGACCGACAAGAAAACAGTGCAGTTATTCAACAATGGTAGAGGCAAACTACACAAAAATGCTTCTGAACTAACTACCTTTACTGCGCAGCTTGATCTTTTCCTACACAAATATCTTAACAATTTGAATACGACATTTGTAATCAGAGTAGCCGAATGTTTGTGCGCCTTTATTAATTGGTGTGATTTGATGAGAAAAGCTTTCTCCGTATTCTTCGGAGTACCAGTGATCGAAATTAGAATTTGACGATACTAAGTGAGGTCAAAGTAAATTAGATATTCTTCTCACACATTTAATATCAAAAGCTGCCCTGTTTAAAACTAAAAATTTCTTGTGTTTTCGCTTTAGTCAATTAACTATCATTTAAGGAACTATAACTGCAACAACTACGACAGCTGGACCAGTTACCTCTGCTTTTTGGTCATTTGATAATACAACACAAGATTTGTACAATGTTTACAATGGTCAGTTAGTTAGTGGTGCTACATATTACACATCACCAAGTAATAATCAAGCAGCAACACCAGTTGGGGGAGTTGGTCAAACACTCTATTTAACAGCATCATTAAATCAATCTGTGATAATTCGTAGTCCATTTTTTAATTTATCCTACACAAGTTTTACATTAGAAGCATGGATATATCCAGTGTCACTGTCTGGTGATAATGATATATTTGGTCAATGTGAAAGTACTACAGGAGTCAATTTATGTCTTTATATGATATTACGTAGTTCTCGTTTATTTATGGGTTTTTCACCTAATTATTTATCAGGTGTAACAATTATTTCAACCAATACATGGTCGCATGTTGCTTATGTTTACAATTATGCCACAGGACAACAATTAATGTATTTAAACGGTTATTTAGATATAGCCCAATCTAATGTCGACCCATATCAAGGCCAAAATGGATCAATCACCATCGGAAGATCATCTATTTTACGTGGTTCTAATTTTTTCGATGGTTATATCGATAATCTTGCACTAACAACACGCGCAAAATCATCAACAGAAATATTAAATGATGCAACATTAAAATTTTATTTTTCATTTGATAATCCAACCCCATCGTTAGACGGTAGCTCAAATAGTCTCAATGGAACGATATCAAACGCTGCCACAGTTAGGGGACGAGTTAATGAAGCATTGAGATTTAATGGTGCATCATCGTACTTTCAAATGTACGGTTTTTATCAATGGGGCTTTACAACAGCAAAACCATTTTCAATAGCATTGTGGGTTAATCCTGTGTTACTTGTTGGTGGTGTATTAGTTCATATGTCCGATTCAGCCACTGTTAGTTATGGTCATTGTTTAATTTTGATGGGCTTAACATCGGGTGGACAAATTATGTTACAAGCATGGTATTCAAACTATCCATCGGTTGTTGGTCCACAGTTATCTGTAAATACATGGACACATATTGTTTATACATACAGTTCAACAAATGGTGTTCAACTATATGTTAATGGTATATTCTCAGGTTCAACTTCGTCACCATCGTTCTCTAGTAGTGGCTATGTTAATTATATTAATGTTGGATCGAATTTAGGTTGTTGTGGTTGCGTTAATATACCTGGCACTGTATTTCAAGGTTCACTTGATGAATTATATGTTTATAAAAGAGAACTAACGTCAACTGAAGTATCAGCATTAGCTAATCCATAAAAAAATTGCATTAAACTGTTTGCCGACTGTGATAGATAGATTCGTGCTATAATCAACATCCCGTACTTCTCACACATTAGTTGAGTTTTGGGTGTAGTGGTCTTCGATGTATTTTCTTCTATTTTTACATCAAAAAATGATTTATGTACTTATTTTGACTTCAGTCCAAATAAAACAGATATCAAACATGTTTCTTGACATTTCTGCTGTGTTACGTGGATTCTTTTCTACAATATCATATACTTTTCATGATGCGAAACTACATATCTGTGACTATAGTACGTAATAGAGTACATCTTGATAGTCTGACATAATTTTTGGATGAATTTTGACTGAATTATGAACATTTTACTTTTATTGAAAAATAGGCAAAAATGGGTTATTGAGACAAAACCGACTCAGATGATCTTACTGGCTCAGAAGCTGAGGCAGACACTACCTTAGTAGTAGAACCTTCCAAGTCTGCGCTTAGAAATCATGCGATTCGTTCTAAACATCAAATTAATTGGATTGAATGGAGAATTCTATCGAAAGACAAAAAGATTATCGATCAAAAGTACGTGAATCTCTTCTTATTGTGGCACATGATCCTTCATTAAACAGAATAGTGTCTTCGGTGCCACTAATTGTGTATCCTGAGGGACTGCTAAAAGTGAAGATTAAATCGTGAAGTACTATGTTCTTCGCTTATGACTTTTTACTGAAAAGAGCCAGCGACCTGCGGTTTTTAGCAATCGAAAGAGGACATCAGAGGACACATACCTATGGGAAAATAAAAGATTTCCAAAATAACTTTCTGAGTTATTATCAACTGGGAAGGCTTGGAAAAACAGCGCGTTATTCGAGAAAAATTTGTTTTTTATTGTTTTCACCGGTTTTGTAGAGCGAGAGGTCTCCTTTCGAATGGTATCCAGGCAACCCCAAAGCGTTTCCTTCCTCGTCGAGTTATAAGCGTTCCAAAATCGGCTGATTTTTCGAAGACTTCGGCTTTTTTGAACTAAAAAATGTCGACATATAGGTAATCGGGTACGCTGATCATCGTGGTGATGTTAGTTTTCGGTTTGGAGATGAAAAAAATTGAGTTAATTGAGATTTTCAGAAAATCGCATATTTTCCCTAAGCGCACGGAAAACTCACTTTTTTAAAAAATGCAGTTTAAGCATTTTTGTTTACTCTAAACGGAAAACTAACATCACCACGATGATCAGCGTACTTGATTACCTATGTGTCGACATTTTTTAGTTCAAAAAAAGCCGAAGTCTTCGAAAAATCAGCCCATTTTGAAACGCTTATAACTCGACGAGGAAGGAAAAGTTTTGGGGTTACTTGGATACCATTCGAAAGGAGACCTCTCGCTCTACAAAACTAGTGAAAACAATAAAAAACAAATTTTTCTCGAATAACGCTCTGTTTTTCCAAACCTTCTCTGTTGATAATAACCTAGAAAGTTATTTTGGAAATCTTTTATTTTCTCATAAGTTTGGGTCCCTGATGTCCTCTTTCGATTGCCGAAAAGCGCAGCTCGCTAGCTCTTTTCATTAAAAAGCTATAAGCGTTTTGGCGAGTAGCTTGTTTTCAAAAAACCGATTGATTTGACGAAACACCAATGATAAAAATATTTTACCAAGACAAGTGTCATGTGGATGTGTGAAATGATAGATGAAGTTGATGACAATAATGTGCGAATAACAGTACACTGATTAACATTTTCTCAGTGTTTTACTTCAGCAATGTTGTCCACATTGTATGATATCCGTCTTTTCAATTTATGTACAGAAGATGATATGAAAAGAGCTTATTGTATACTTTCGGAGGATACCTTTTCAGTGGATGATTGTTACACAACAAATGCAGTTGATCTAGATCTAAGAGGCACATATCAAGTCAGTGGAAGAATTCTGCAATTAAACAATGCATCAATAATCAACCCGTTAATGAAATGAAAATTTCACATATATTTTTATCACAATGCTATTGCTAACGCATGGCTGTAGCAATATACTGTCACCAGTATCATTTATAATAGTTTAATTTATGGTCCGATTGAACCGAAAAAGAAATTTTAGAATAAGTAAAAATTTATGTTTGAAATTATTAGAGATATTATGTTACCTCCTTATTATATAAAACCAGTCGACCTGGTTTAGTTTTACAGCAGCTAATTCATATATTTTTCTTATTTTCTGATTGTCGACCGTTCGGATGATATTCATCCATTATCAAAGCGGTGTTACAGTACAATACAAACAAAATAAAACGAGATATAGTACACTTCATACAGTACAGAACGGAGAGAAATTTTACATTTTTCTTTCTCGAAGAAATTCGAGAACAAAAATACTTCTTAACCGTATGTCAGAAATGAGTATTGTGCAATACTTGTTTTTGACATTTCCACCCCCGATGTCTAGCATACAGTCCATTCATGATTTAATCTTCACTTTTAGCAGTCCCTCAGGATACACAATTAGTGGCACCGAAGACACTATTCTGTTTAATGAAGGATCATGTGCCACAATAAGAAGAGATTCACGTACTTTTGATCGATAATCTTTTTGTCTTTCGATAGAATTCTCCATTCAATCCAATTAATTTGATGTTTAGAACGAATCGCATGATTTCTAAGCGCAGACTTGGAAGGTTCTACTACTAAGGTAGTGTCTACCTCAGCTTCTGAGCCGGTTTTGTTCTCAGTGTAATTAGCAATTTTCTCTTCATTTCTTTTAAAACGTCGTAAACGCAATTTAATGTTGAAATCGACATCTGTTGTCGTAACTGAGGAGCACCGTGTTCTTTGAATCTAGTAAATTCTCTTCGGACATTTACTTCCTTCTTGTTGTCAGAACTGAAGACTTAACATCAAAACGTAATAAAAAGGTTTTGTATCATATTTTGCTATTGAAAAATAATCAAACATTTTATTTTTGATAAAATAGCTAGCTATTTTGCACATAACTGTCAAAAATATTTCTCTAGCTAAATATTTTTTTTTGGGATAAATGAAATAAATCATATAGAGTTAGAGCTTGATGTGAGAGTTATTTCATTCTACATTTTGCTAGTTGTGACGTTAGTCTAATAGATTTAAATTTAAAAAATTTAAAGATTCCTGAATCAAATCCTTCAGAATTAGTGCCAAAGACCTGTCTGCTGTCGTGAATTTTGAATACTAAATTTTATGATTTTTTACGAAATGTGGTTGTTTAATGAGCATTCCGATATCCAATTTGCTAGATAACATTTTGAAATCGAGTAGATCAATGAAACATAATAGAAAAACGACATAACTCTTTTTAACCTGTTTGTCCATGCTTCGTTGGAAAATGTTCCTGATTCATCACTTTTGAATTAACTCTTGACGTTTATATATCAAATGAAAGGACTTCAAACGGGCTACGTTCTGATGGAAAACTTAAAGAAAAAGATCAAAAATATATTGAGGAAAATGCCAAACAAGTTTGTGCAGAAACTTATGAACCACTCGTATTTTGTCGGTTATGTGGGCAGCTTTCTACAAAATATCTTGATTGCTGCACTCAGTTATTGCTGATGTTTAAAGTGTTTAAAAGGTTTCAATGTTATTTGTGCAGAAATTGAAATATTCAAAAAAGTTCAAAATTGCAAAAAAAAATCGAAGATCGATTATTTTTTTGCGACCTTTGTGTGTTTTTGATATTTTTTCTATATATAACATTAAACCTTTTTTAACACTTTACCTTCGTAGAGCCAACCTTTCTCTACAAAATGAGATATTCTGCAGTTCTGAGAGATTTACTGTAACCAAGTCGAAACGGTTTTCTTGAATGCCCCAACATCGATTATTAATCGGTGCATCCCTACGTTCTGAAAACCTCCATATCCTCTCGATGAGGATCAAATAACGTTGGATCCTGATTGTAGGTACTGTGGTCTATCTGATGACGTGTTTAGCTTAATATCGACTATCTCAAAACGTAGAAAACGGTTTTTCTATAATTTAAAACGCCTCAGAACTCTCTGCGATTTTCAATTTCGGAGTTATAGTTGAAACAAAATCAGCAAAAAGAGTAACGCTGTGACATCTCTGGCATAGGAGTTACATGGACAAGTTATGAGTATGTGAGTATATAGAACATCGTATCGTTTCGAATAAAAGCCTTCTTTTAGTTGCTCATTTTCGAAGAAGAACAAAACGTACTCGGATTTTTTAATTACAGAAGGTTATTTTAAGGGGCTTCAGCAGACTTCATGGGATTTCAATAGATTCTATAGGACTTTAGTGGACTTCAAGACTTCAGAGGACGTCGAAGTACTGAAGTTCGCTTTTTCTCCTTTGGATTATGGAGCATCTTATTACAAGCGGAAAGGTTTTCGAGAAGTTCTTTGAAAACCGATTTTCCAGAGGATCTTTAGAAAACCTGCGCAGAACGAAGCTATTGACTTTTTTACGTCAATAGATACAAGAAAGTGTCCTCTTCAAAATGCGATCTAAGCAATTGCTTGAAAATCTTTGACTTGGTCAGACCGTCAATTTTGCCATATATGAATATCCGCACTTTCTCAAAACTTATCGCGTCAAACTCAGCGTAAAAAGAAAGGTATAGTCTGTTTATTTTTCGAAAACGAAAGTTGTCATTACTTGTAGGTCTACGAAATGTAGTAAGTCAATTGTTGTTGGCTCTCTCTTTGACAGACCGAAAAAAACGGAAGACAGTAATCTCTCAACAATAAAGTTCATCAGAAATTAGATAAACCATGTTAAACTTTTACTAATAGAAGTACAATGTTTCTGCATCCAACACTGAGCTTTAAAACCGCAGAGAGAAACCAGTAATAGGCCGCTTCAATTTTTCTACCCATGTAGACACCTTTCAGAGAATTTCCGTTAAACATTAAAATAACGCAAAAAAGAACGACTTGCGTATGAAATGTTGTAAAAAGGTCAACTACCACAGAATTCTGGATAATTTTTTTGTAGAATATGCAGAATTTTGCAGTAATTTCGCCTTCATAACAATTTTTTGCGTTACACGATTATATTTTTGCATTTTCCCTTGACTTTAGTCTAAGGTCTTAGTTGTCTGTGTGTGTGTGTGCGTGTGTGTGCGTGTGTGCAAAATATGGAAAAATGGCTGTCAGATATTCTATAGATAAGCGAATCACAGGAGATAGAAATAGAAAATTATTTTTTACATAAGAGAGAAAATATTCAAAGAGAACATCTGAAATATGTACTGATGCAGAGAGGTAAACAGCTAAGCAAACGTTTTCTGTAGGCCGGAGGTAGATGTTGCCAGATAGCAGTCGACTGTGACAATACAAAAAAAGTGGTATACGGGTAATAAAATTGACATTGTATACATAATCTATTATAACAAATCGATTAGAAATACTTCGAACCTCGCTGGGATCTGCAGAGGGTGTGCAGAAAACCTTTTAGCTTTATATTACATTAGATGGTTTTTCGGTGGAATCAGAGAAGTTCATAGCATTTCTCATCTATACTGGTTGCGAATGCCAACAGAAGGGAAGCGTGAGGATTGTTTTAAATTCATAAATAGTTTTAGATCTCTTGAGATTTTTGCTCTTTATATTCATATTAGATTCCGAACCTTACACATGAAAACAGAAAAAGTCCAGAAGATGTCTTAGGCAGGTTTCCAGCGAGCGCCGACCGAAGATAGGTGTGAGCATTGTTTTGAATGCAGAAATATGTTTAGACCTCTACAGATTTTTGATTTATATATTTATATCAGATTACGAACCTTATACATAAAAAAAGAAAAAAAATCCAGAAGATGCCTTAGTTAGGGCCCCAGCGAGCGCCGACCGAAGGGAGGCGTGAGCATTCTGTTCGATTTATAAGTCACCAAAGGACGTTCGCTTGCGCAGATCCAACTTAATAAAGTCAAGGGATCGAGCAAGTGGAGACGAGAGCTACTTTGTTTTTTTGCGTGATTCACGGAAAAAACGTTTTGGTTTTGACGATATTGGTAGAGACATTCACCTATTATTGCGGCTTTTATATGTTATTCAGATAGGCAGCAGTTATTTTCAAAGTGTAAAGATCTTGGTAAAGGTATTAATAAACAAGCTTTTATAAATGAGCATTTATCATCGTTAAATCATCAACTGTTTATTTATGCTTGTCGTCATCTGGATAAAAACAAAGTTTTCACACGGAATGGGAGCGTCACGCTCCCATTCCGTGTGAAAACTTTCTTTTAACAAGTTTGAAAACTTTTTAAAACTTTTGTTTTCTTACCTTGATACAGCATTAGTAATGCTGTATCAAGGTCAAGGTAATAATTTACATTTACCATTGTTCGACGTAGTCAGTCGTCTTAAACAGTCTTTAAGACTGTTTAAGACGAGTGACTACGTCGAACAATGACTACATCGAACATCCAGTTCGATGTTAAAACACAAATACTACGTAAAACTAAAATAACGCGGACTATTTATGGTTATAAAGCCGCAAACTGGGAGCTGTTGAACAATATTTGTAGTGGGGTCCCATTCGATACTCTCTTAAAAAATTATAATAATATTGGTGAAAAACCAGGTGCAGTTGAAGAGGTTCTTCTTGAACAGGTCAATCGGGTAATACCGCACAAAGTCATTACTCTAAAGCCAAGGGATAAAATTTAGTTCTCTGATGACATTCGTGTCTTACATAAAGATAAAGTAGGAATGTATCGTAAAATGATTAGTAAATCCACATTAGTTAGTAAAAATAACTATGAACAATCTGCTGTCAAATTTTATAAAGCATGTGTTCAGGCGAAAGTAGATTTCTATAATAAAATAAATCATAAAGTGTCAGTTTCGTCCAAAAATTGGTGGTCACTTGTTAAACATACAATGGGTCGTGATCGTACGACAGTAATTTCAGCATTAAAAGATAAAAACGGAGATGTCAAGGTAGATATTCAGAGTAAAGTTGAAATTCTAAATGCACATTTTGCATATATTTGCACATGCAGTGGTTCCTCCAATTTCTTCTTTGCTGCTGATAAGTTACCACTCGCTTCATCCCGTTCAAGTGTATTTACGGCTATGTATAGAGATGTCAAAAAAGCTTTGCAAAGATTGAATTGTAATAAATGAACAGCTCCTACAGTAACCAATAGAATGCTGACATTTCTTGAACCCTCTATAACACAGTGTTTAATACATCTCATTCGTGAATCATTCAACACGACATTCTTTCCAGATCACTGGAAAGACGGCTATGTGAATGCTTTGTTTAAGTCAGGAGATTCTCTTGATCCTACCAACTATCGACCAATAACGCTTTTGCCTGCGATCTCGAAAATAAACTGTTGTCTGTTTTTCAGTCAGGTTTTACTAAGAAAAACTCTACAACTAATCTTTTACTTGACGTAATTCATAAAATAAATGTAGGTGTAGAAAACAACAACTTTGTTCGCTCAAGTCTCTTAGACTTTCAATTCCGATTTTTCGTTCCTGATTCAGAAAAAATGTACTTTCTCAGGAACGAAACAAATTTTAGAAAAAGCGATACGTATTTTTGTAGTACAAAGCAAGACAGATCGAATGGAGCAAGAATCAGAACTGCGTCTCTTAGCACAAAAAGCTAGTTAACTTTTTGCGGCGAGGCCTTTGATTTGGAGCTATGTTTATAAACGAATTTTTCCTGCAATGGCATTACATATGGAAACCTTCGAAAACACATGTCTTAATGCAATTTTCAGTGCAGAAGTCGAAAAACAACGTTTGGAAGCTTCAGAATGCAAAGGAGCGAAAATATTCAACTTTTCGAAACACGAAGGTTTTTCGCGACTTTGAGACTCTCCCAGTACTTCGAAAACGTGCACTGGGAAGGCTAGAAAAATGATATTATTGATCAGCGAGAAATTCTCTATCGAATGGTGTATAAGAAAACCAAAAATAAAATAGTGCTCGAACTTCGAATTAGCGGCGCCTTATATAAACCTCGATTCTTCTCTCTACGTCACAAAACCGTTGACGAGTATCGAGATGAAACAAGTTTTATAGGTATGATCGAGAAAAATCGTGATACATATGTTTTTCATCATTCAGAGGACACAAAAAATTGTGACGGTGCTTGCAGAACACATACGAAAAGGTTTTAAGGAGACAGCGTCGTTCGGAGTTTAATGTTTGTTTTTTTACAAAAATGTTAAAAATGAATAGTTTTGAAAACGTGACTTTTCAATCAACGAGGTTGAGAGACTTTTTCCTGAAGGTTCGGTCAGCTTTAATACCGAGGTATTTGTAACTCCATGTCTTATGCTGATAAACAACAACAGTTTTCTTTGAAGGAGACAAGAAAAAGAAAATGAGATTTCTCAGGCAGTAATAAGAGAAAAAGGTTTGATGAAACTTAGGTAAGCCACAAAATTCGTAGCGCATATTAATTTTTTCAAAAGAGTGCTGTTTATGCTATCTGGAAAAAGAACGGAGAATAAAACCTATATTTTCTTGATTTAACAGGTCTGTATATATCTTCTTTCCTATCAATTGATGGAACCATATCAGAAATATCTAAACTACTATCGATCCCAAAATATAATGCAGGTTGTGATTTTTTGAATAACTCAAAAATGGTGATAGATAGAGACTTGCGGTTTTCACCTGAAGCTCTATTTTTACAAGCGAAACTGCTTTCTGGAATTATTAGAAAGATCGGTTTTTCAGCTGTTTGGCTAACTAGTTCAGATCTCTAGAAACAGACATAGAAATCTATTGATTTTTTGTATAGGTAGATACCTAAAGTTTCATCTACAAAACTGGAACTAAGGGCCATCTCCAGAAATCATGGTTTAGGCGCTATGAACATTTTTCCCGAAGGGCTAGGAGTCCTTCACCAGTACACCAGCACGTTTGAGACTATCAGAAATGAATGAAAACATAATTTATCGACTATGCTGAGTTGCGTGGTAATGTTTGTTTTTAGAAGAAAATTTTAGAATCTAGTGAAACCTAAGTTTTACGAAAACTAGTTTTTTCCGGCTGTTTTCAGCTAATATTAAAAAGTTCATAACTCACTTAAAATACATCAGAGCCAGTTAAAAACTTCAGGATATGGTTATATTTGTCCACCAAACATCATTATAGAAGCGAGGAATTTGAAAAAGCAATATTTATTTAGCGGTTTTCTAGAAGCCTTTGCAGAAAACTACAGAGTTCTCTAGATTCCTTTTTGTAGATTTTTTTATACATAGAATATAAAATAGTTGAGATACTGTACATCCTGAAGTTTTCAACTGACTCTGATGTATTTTGAGTGAGTTATGAATATTTTAATATTAGCTGGAAACAGCCGGAAAGACTAGTTTTCGTAAAACTTAGGTTTCACTAGGTTCTAAAATTTTCTTCTAAAACCAAACATTGCTACAAGATTCGGCATTGTCGATAACCTAAGTTTTCACTATACTTTCATTCATTTCGAAAAAATATATATCACGCCTTTTCTCCATCGTACCCGTAAAAAAAACTTTTCATGTAGTACTTAGAAAAATTTTCGCCACTTAGTATGGTCTACCGTCTTTCTCTTTATTAATAAAATAAACTTCATATTACAAAAGGGGCTATGCATAACATCTAATCATCAAAGAGCCATTTTACTGCATCGACAAATTCCCTTCGCCAGAACCATTCTGAATGTTCTCCATCATCCTTATCAATTGATTTGACTTCTTTATTTGTGTACTGTTTAGTGTCAACGAGTAATCGAACCATTCGTTGCATATCAGGAATCATTGTCATACTCTCTTTTGCTCCACAGACAAAGTACAACTTTGGATTTATATCAAACAAATTAAACATTTTTTCTGCATATGTATAAATCTCATCACTGAACGAGAATGACGGGGAAAAAACGCCTACACGTCCAAATATGTGCGGATAACGAGCGGCTGCATAAAAGCTCACTAGACCACCAAGTGAACTTCCTAGAATGGCTGTATTTTGACGTTCAGGTTTTGTTCGGAAACGCATATCAATGTACGGTTTCAGGTGATGGACGATGAATTTCAAATATTTATCAGCATGTCCTCCACCTCGAGTAGAACTCGGGAAAGGTGTTAGCTCGTTCAATCTTTCACTCCCTCCATTATCGATCCCGACAACAATCACTCCATTTCCAATCGAAGATGACGTTCTGTTGAACAGCTGATCTAACGTTTCATCGATTCCCCATTCTCCAGAATATGAGTAGACCTGATCAAAAAGATTCTGACCATCATGAGCATAAATAACAGGATAATTTTTTGACATTTTGTAATAATCAAGCGGCAGATAAATCCAGATGCGGCGAGTGCGGTTAAAGTTTGGTAACATTGAGAAGGACGAGTCTAACACAAAAACTTGCTGAGATGCCGTATGCTTTCCATTACCATCTGACCAATTTTCCACGGTCAAATTCACTACCATGGTATTACTCGTCACCTACCGTAAAACAATGTGCAGTAGGAAATATGAAGAATTTGGAAATATTTCTACCTGTAGCTCTCTATTCGACTTTTGAGCACCATTCGTCAGAGTCTCCACAACACTCCATGATCCTCTAGTTATTTTATATTGATATACACCCAACGGTAACTCAGCATTCAAATAGTAGGTTGTCTCATTCTTTCTTAACTGGTAATTTCCATCATCTGGTGACCAACTATTAAATGTTCCAGCGATAAACAAATTGTCGTTGATAGGGGTGTAAAATCGAGGAACGTCAGTAATACAAAAATGAACGGTTGCGCCTTCGATGCTTTTTAATAGTGCACATATAAACACCCACAGGCGTACGCGTTTACTATACATTCTTCCTAAATAATGTAACGAATGAAGTATAATATTCTTTTCTGTTGGATGATATCAACAATAGTTAAGGATTAGTAAAATGATATTTGCTTTTGAAAGCAAAAACACTAAGTGCCTATAATAATAGAGAAAAATGGCTATTGTCGATACTCAATCCTTGATAATTTGAGACTAAGTTTGACACAAACACGGGCTTGAAACATGGTTTGTGGTGATAGATATAATACCTTTTACCGAATATCGGTGTAAGTGCAAATGTGTGCAAACATTAATCATCGTAGATTTTTTGAGTCCGTTTCTCTTATGTGATCGAAAATTCAAGATTTTGTAATTACTGTCATTTTCAAAATAGAACGACTGTGAACGAATTGTGCGACTGTGAGTTGAATAATTACGAGACTTCAATAGCTGCGGATCTGCCGTTTTCACCATCGTGTAGCCAAGTCCTTGGGACATAGATATACATGAAAAAAAATGTTTTGATAGGATTTTGCGAGGTTTTCTAGAAGGATCTCTGGAAAACCAGGTGCGCAAAGATAGAAAGTTTGATGAAATTTCGATTTTGGAGTATTCTTTCGATAGCCCAAAGAGTTTTGTACATTTCTACATAGCCCCCGCATTTTCCTGACCTTGCAAACGAGCGCTAGACCCAATATACAAAACCCACCAAAACGCATTTTTCAGTTAATTAAAAAAAAAATTCTTAGGAAAACAGACATTACGCATCGATATATAGGTTTTAGGACACGCCGATCATCGTGGCAGGGTTCCTTTTATGCTAGTGGGATTGAAAGCCATCAATTTAAGCTTGGCTCTATCAAATGCCGTAACTACAGTTTCCATTAGCGGCCTTGATGACTAGACAGGAAGACTAGACAGGAAATGATATCTTAATTAATATTACAGACTGTGATAGATGTTAGAGTGTATCCATTACCCAGACATCGGCACGCGTTGCATCTTCTCTTCTGTTTGGTGGTCTCGGCTTCTGCTATGCTCTGTCGCATCGCACATGCAGTCCATTGTGGTCACACGCCGGTGGTGCCCGTTGCATCATCCTCTGCTTTGTTCTGTTGCAACTCATATATAGTCCAGGATTGTCTTATTTCATTCGTGCTATATATAGTGGCGATTTCTTTGCAATAAATCACTACGCTACAGCCACCACCGCCCTCCATCTGATCTTCCTAGTTAGTCACGCTCTCGCTGGGTGCATCCGCTCACAATAGATCATTCACTATCACACACAACTTTGAGTGATCATGCCGAAAGGTAACGAATTCTCAGTTGATCAAAAGACGATTTTCTTCCGTGTCATCGACTTCGTTGAACGCGAGAAGGAGGGCTCAATTATTCCGCTAAACAACACGATGGCTCGACTTCATACTCAGAATTAGTGAAACCTCGCTGAGCAATTTGAAACGGGAGCTAGCCGAGCAGCGACAACAGCATCAACAGCAGATGGAAAATGAGGCTATCCGCCCGCGCCGTCGAATGACGTCTGAAAGGGTATCCACGAAAGACCATCGCAAGCGACGGTATTCGGAAATGGCTTCGAAAATTCTTCTTGATATCTCATCTCCCATGCCGCCGATGAAGATTGGAAAGTCGGAACGTCCGACTGCGATCCTCAGCGAGTTGGCCGAAGACACAATTCAATATCACTTTCATCTTCTTCTCGCCGAAAGAAATATCCACCAATTGCCACTTTGCTTGCGTGTATTCACGATGAACATCCTGACTTTCCGGTCCAGTCTGAGACGAGTCTGTGGCGCCATTTGAGAAGACTTGGCTTTGTCTGCCATCCTCAATCCAGTCGAATTGGCGTAGTCCCAGCTCAAAGATTACGTCCGCTCCAACAATACGTTCTTCCGTCTGAATGACAATCGCTCTCTTTCCAAAGAGTACATTGCTGTTCTTGACAGTGAAACTGCTTGCCGCTTCATTGACCACTTTCGAACAGCGGAAGAAAAGTTCCGCGCCGCCGATGCCTTTCTGGAAGAGACAATAGAACCAGAACTTGTCGCAGACCATGATTAAGATCTGAATCCTAATCTGGACACTGACTCATCATACGAAAACTACGATATCGATACCTGAACTTCCTGTTAGTTCATCCTTAACTAGTTTGTGGAAATACTTTCAATAAACCACGCTTATTATACGGCATTATATAACTGATGCTGGCGGTCATGGATCGTCTCACACAAGATAGCAGGAAAATACAAATCCAGCAATTGATAGAGCCAAGCTTAAATTGATGGCTTTCAATCCCACTAGCATAAAAGGAACCCTGCCACGATGATCGGCGTGACCTAAAACCTATATATCGATGCGTAATGTCTGTTTTCCTAAGAATTTTTTTTTTAATTAACTGAAAAATGCGTTTTGGTGGGTTTTGTATATTGGGTCTAGCGCTCGTTTGCAAGGTCAGGAAAATGCGGGGGCTATGTAGAAATGTACAAAACTCTTTGGGCTATCGAAAGAATACTCCAAAATCGAAATTTCATCAAACTTTCTATCTTTGCGCACCTGGTTTTCCAGAGATCCTTCTAGAAAACCTCGCAAAATCCTATCAAAACATTTTTTTTCATGTATATCTATGTCCCAAGGACTTGGCTACACGATGGTGAAAACGGCAGATCTCTCGGAATTATTCAACTCACAGTCGCGCACATTTTATTTTGAAAACGACAGTAGTAGCTTTTTGACTTAGAGAAAGAAGTGCAATAGCTTTAGTTTTTATGCATCGGTAGCAGTTAATTATCCTTTCAAATGAAGAGCTTTTATTATACCAATCATGTTTTTCTCTATCTTTCTCTCGAACAAATGGAGCTAATCTAACAAAATGAAAACTCACAACAAGAAAACCATACATAAGCTGGATTAACATACAAAAACAACGACAATGTCTAAAGCGTAATGCGCAATAATAATAAAAAATACTCAGAAAAAGCAGTTTTCTTTGAATGGCAAGTAACGCTCGCTAGCCCACTCACTCTCCACCAGGATGGTTCAGGATGGTTCAGCTGGTGGTCTAGTATTCATTGTACTATCGGTCATCCGTAACGTTTTTTTGCTACGTAACAGTTTTTCACACTGTTGATCACTCCCTGCTTATATATGCAAGGTGACTTTAAGGACTTATATCTGCGCACGACCTTCAGTTACTTTGAATGAAAGACAACGCTCACACCTCCCTTAGGTCGGTGTTCGCTAGAGGACTATCCACAATATGTGTGGGTGTATGTCCTTCACACTGCGTTGAAAAGCCAGTGGGCCTTATTTGTACGAATCAGTGTTCGGTCTCGGTATTTACCGAAGTTCGATATGTTCGGTATGAATACCGATACCGGTGCATACCTAGTTTTCACCGTATAGATGTGTAGAAAGAATAGAAGAACAGATTTTTGAAAACTATTTTCAACCCAGTTTTTAAGGATTTCTGGAAAGCTAGTTGTAAGTAAAAGTACATCTTGATATTCTGCAGTGGTAGGCATGAACTGATTTCGAATAATCGAAGCTTCGATTATTCGATTTTTAATCGAAACTTTTAATGAAAAGCGCCTAATAGAAATATGTCATGGAACTTGCGAATAAGCAAAAACATAGCACACTGGGGAACAATGTGGACATTTGGGAAAAAACGAAAGTAAGATTTACCAAAATTTAAATAGCAGGAATATACTTCAGCAGACGCTCTATCTCTTTGCCATTCGAAGCTTTTTTCTAAGTCCCATCATAAGTGAGAAAATCGCTAAGAAATTTTGTCGAAAAACATAGTGACAAAGATAGAAAATATCTTTTAACCAGAATACAACACGATATCTAGAAGTAAAATACACGGTTTAAAACTAGACCTTTCACTCTATCTACTCGTAAAAAGTGTTTTTTGTAGGACGCATTGTGTCAAAGGAAAAGAAACTAAGAGCAATAACTGATAATTTCAGTCCTGTTGCTTAGCAGGCAGCTTGCAAACTTAAATCAAACAATTTAGCAGTTTTCAAAAAGTTAAAAAGCTTCTAAGTACGAAGCTGTATGCACGACCATTTTAAATAAAAACGCCTTCTAAACATTTCACACGTCCCCACCCTGTTCGAACATGTTCAAACTAATCATAGCGTTTCAAACGCGTGCAGATGGCGTTTCGGTCGACCTGGGGTTGAATCAAGGGGGTAATAGAGGACTCCTGAAGTCCAGGAGTCCAAGAGCAAAGTGTTCATTTTTTGGAAAGTGATTCTCAAAAAAGAACACTTTGCTCTTGGACTTCTGGACTTCAGGAGTCCATGGGAGTCCAGGAGTCCATAGGAGTTCATAGGAGTCCAGAAGTCCGCTATTTCCCCTTGGGTTGAACATATCGTAACACAAACGCAATAAAACATCAATATTTTTTACCCAAACAGATGCAAGCAGTGTTGTTGAATCCTCGAAGCAAAATAAAGTATTAGAACCTTCTCAGAGTGTAAATGTTATTGACACATACAACGAACGTTGTGACGTTGTGTAGCCTTGCGCATAATTTACAAGACACTGTTGGCTATCTATTTATCTTCTTACAACCAAAAAGTAAAACTAAAGAAAAATAACTATCCTTTGTATATGCCTATGACAGAAAA